AAAAGCAGTTTTGTTTTTCCCAATAAAACAGGAGATGAGCCAATAGACATTTGAATCTAGAATGATTGACAGTTGCACAGGTGTTTTGATATTTAGACACTGCTTGGGATCTCCACCCCCTTCCTCAGTCTCACATGCTTTTGACTGTTACCTAAGTGGTGCGTCCTAACTTATTAGGGGTGCCACCGAAATATATTGTTCAAAAAATGGTCAAAAACAGGACTTTCAGTTTTCAGCTGAAACAGAAAAAAGGCCAAATATTTTCAAGTAAAAAGATTAAATAGGTCGCAGTGCAGTGACAAATCTAATACTTTACAAATAATGTGAATAGTGATTAATTAACATGGTGATTGGTGTTTTTTTTTTTTTTTTGACCAGCGCTCTCCTGCACTCCTGTACAATGCAGATGGGTTAAAACACTTTGAGTAGTAGCACAATAACAGAGAAAATATCAGCCATGTGGACATTAGACAACTAATTTGTAAAAGGATTGTATAAAACTGTGCTGTTATTTTTCTTTTTACTGTGCATTACTGCAAAATTATCTAAAATTCAAGACACCAAAACATTTTTCTAAATATTCTCAACTTAGGTCATTTGCAGTAATTTTTAAAATAAAATATATAAAATAAAAGTGTAAATCTAGAAAAATAAATAAAAAAGGTTTAAGAATTATTTAAAATCACTTAATTTTAATCATCAGTGAAAAAGGTTTTAATATATAAAAGACACAGAAAAGTAAACAAAAAAGTTAAATAAGGTAATTAGCTGTGCAGATTATAACTGGTCCATGCAGATTTTTACAATAATTATAATGTATGGAGATTTGTGCCTTTGCAGTTTCTGTTAAAGATGGAGTAGCCAAAGAGGTTTCCATGAGACAATTGGTTCTACACTTTATTGTAATTGTTGTAGTGTTAACTACAGCATGTCTATTCAAGGGGAACTGTCATATTTGGTAAAGAAGTAAAGTGTAATGGCTTTATCCCAGTCAGGGTAAGATTTGGGAACACTGGGCATGAGGCGACAATACCCTCTGGATGGGAGGCCGGTTTGATGCAAGGTATAATGCACACACACATTCACACACACATTCACACCTAGGGGCAATATAGTGTAGCCACTTCACTTCCCAGAGGAAACCCATGAGGGACCTGGTGCTGTGACGCTCCAAAACTGCGCCATTTGTGCTGCCCATTGGATGCCGATTATGATAATCGTTCTATTTCCTGATAGGCAATTAGATATACTGACCTAATGCAATCAGGGTGGACAAATCATAAATCCATTAGCTAGACACAAATGAGTACATAAATTCCCACATAGTGGATGATAATCATCATTATCTTTTTCTAACAAAGTGTCTGAGGTAGCACATCATGTTCATACCCTTGACAAAAAGTCAGCAAGTTGTTGGCCAGTGCTGGGCTTTGAGCTGTGGAGTTTTCTCTTCACATCACACATAAAAGATATGCAAGTTTGGCTAGCATCTTTACTTTTTCTTGCAATGTTTAATTGTAACGTGACTGTGTGTTGTGCTAGCTTTACTATGCGCCTTATTTTGCTCAGTTTTCTTGGTGGTTCCACATATCTGCATATTTCAGATTCAGAAAAGGTTGTATGTCATCTGTACATGCTAATTAATCTGATTAGTAGAAAGCCAATATGTGTAGTGGGATTCAGAATGAGTAGCGGGTTCTATAGTTATAGTATTGACATTGACAGCACATTTGTTTAAATATAAATACTGAATAAAAACTTGTTTTGTCAAAGTTAGTAGTAACTAGCATTTTTTTTCTCTGAATATCTGGTCTACTGAGACTATGTGTAAAAGCCCAGACACGTAATCTCCTTGTCCTGCTTTCCCAGGGTAATGATTTGTCCAGCTTTGGTAATATTTTAAGAATTTACCTTGTTCAATACCCTGCTGTAGACTTTACCCAGATAAAAATCAACATGTTCCACAGAATACGTAAATTTTTTTTTTAAAAAAGTAAGATTCTGTGTTGCTTTTAGTAGGTACTGAAAGGTCTCAGCCATCTTTCTTTTCTCTTGCACAGGCACATGGAGAGAGTTATTTTGGTATCTTGGTACTGGAGATCACAGATGTGATTTACACGGCAGCCATTTCAGTTAGGTTCTCCAGCGTTCTGCACTGGTGTAGAGTCTCTAGTACAACATCTCATGTGTCACCCGAGGACAGCTGCAGCCTTCTTATTCCAAGTTTGGAAAGCGTGTAACTGTCTCATTGACTTTCTTCCTAGGGAAGGGGTTGAGGGCTTTCTTTCACATGCAGATTTAGCTTATAGGAAGAAGAACATGAAGGCCGAAAAATAATGCCAGATCTTTATGTAAAATTAGGTTCTTTGTAGAGCTGGACCACCTGGCATAAGCTGGACATCTTGATGTGTTACCAACAATCACTCAATTTAGAACAATATAACAAAGTAGGTTAAGTTTTATATAAATGACCAAACTATTGAATAGTAAATAAAGTAATTAATTAACACTCAAACTTCAAAATTAATTTGTACTTCGCACATGCACCCATTCTCCTATTATATCCTTACATGAGAGCAGCATTGCTTATGCCCTGACAGGCAGCAGCAACTGCAGCTCCTTAAATGTCAGCATGTTTATGTGCATATATTTAAATGGTCTCTCCAGAGGCAGCAAAACTAACCAATGCAGCTTAATAAACTACTCTAACAGACATTAAGTAAGGATAAGGGATAAAACACAATGGCTTATGCTGTTATAGGAAAATAGTCAGCGACTGAGTGCTATGATGGGGCCTGGCATGAAGCTGAGTTACTGTTTTATTATATCACCTCTTATACCACATATTGCAGGGCGATTAATTTGGTTAATTTGAATTAATGTTTTAACGCATTTTCCAAATGTTCTAATTGAGATCGTACGTTTATATATATGCATATTTAAATTTTTAATTAAAGCATCCGTAAATGCTATTTAAAAGTTTAAACCAATACGAAGGAAAAACACTGCCTTCTTAACCTGATAAATGCTTCCTACAGCCTTCACTACTCCCAAATACTGCATGCTTAGATTAAAAAAAAAAACAAAAAAAACGCCAAGATAAAAAGGCAGCACTTCGCCGAGGACTGAACTCATAGCAAATAAAGGTTCAAATATCACTTCAGAAATATGGAATTGGTATAGATTTGAAAAGTCATATGAACAAAGTCAACATGAACATAATGCTGCATTATATCCTAAGCAGTCCCATGTTTATTTGTTGTTAGCAGCAAATTAGTGTAACCCAAATGAGTGGTGCATATTTTCCTTCTCAGACAGCAAACTGTTTGGTCAGTGTTTTAGATTTAACAAACGAATATGTCTGTATGTTGATTAATCTAAAGCTAATACTTGTATATAGAGTATAAATCATTTAAAGGTAAGATGTTTTACTTTTTTTTTCTGATGTTGTGCGCAGCCATGTTGATTTGACGTCACTCTGTAAATGGGGAAGGAACTAGGATTTGAGAAGAATACCCAAACTTGACTTCTCAGTTGCGGTGGCATTTCATATCACGAAAGACATGATCCCCATTTATTCTGTCGAGAAAGAAGGGTTCACTAAGTTGTGCAAAAGTAGTAACAGTGATAGCTATAGCAAGAAAAAGGTTTTTTTTTTTTTTTTTTTTTTTTTTTTTTTAATCCTTTATTTAAAAGAACCATTTTTTGCACTATTGGATATAGATGGTGCTGTTACTATTTTTCCAAAGTCCATTCTGATAAATAAAAAAAACCTTTATGAATAAATTGCATAATTTTTCAACTGCATTACGAAAGAACAAAATAAAATCGAAATTGTAATTGAGAACCATTCATAAATTTGAAAAAAATCAAGATTTTTTTTTTTTGGCAATATTGTCCAGCCCTAATACCACACCAATTTGCCACTGATTACAGTTTTTTTTTTTTTTTTTTTGTTAATGAACAACATACTTTTTAACCATTTTTAGTTACATTTAATCTTATGGACCATCTGCAAGACAAGTTCCTGTTATCTCTTGTTTTATAGCATCTATAAACAGTTGTTCTCTCACTTCCCTCTCTTTTTTGATCTGTTTTAGGGGGGAAAAAATGAAGCTCGCCATGTTACCGGGAACTCAGAAAGTGTAAAATTCCTGTGCGGAAAACTTAGACAGTTACGAAGTGCGGACACTGGTTGAGACTCCTTCCATAAATGTTATATAAACGTCTCCTAACAGAAAACTTCACCATATCAACAACTACGTGTTTTTGTTTGTTAATTAACAACAAAATTTTTTAATCCAGAACTACTCGAGAACTGCTGTTACAGTAAATTAATAAAAACCTTCTGACCAATTAAATTCAAGAATTCAGCAGACATGTGGTATTAAAGAAGATATAGAGGGAACCATGTACTGCCCAGTATTAATCCAGCAAAACTCAAGCAATAAAAGCATGATCGTACAATAAGAACCCATACTACATAGGTGTTATCAGTGAATATTTCTGTGGAAATGTAGATGAAGTGTAGGCAAAATTAGACTACAGATGTAGATGCAACATTCTACTGAAGTTTCTGATTATGAAATGTTATAATACATAATACACCTATGGGAGTACTTTCAAAAATATTTATGCTTAATCAGGTCAGTGTTATTATGATTTATATAAGCACCATCTTACAGACAGATTATTTGTAAGGAAGAGTTTCTAAGGAAATCTTTCATTTCAGATTGCAGACACTGCCCCCTAGTGGTGAAATAAGATGGACAAAAGATACACAACTGGTGTGGCTTTTTTCTCTTTCAGGACCATGGTACATTGCAAACAGTAAGTCATTATTTGCATTTATTATCTATATTATTAATATAATATTTGAATATTAGCTTGGTAGGTCAGTGTTTTGAGTCTCATTAATCTCAACTTTGCATCAAAGGTCTTGGAATTGTTGAGGGTGGGGTTGCATCACGTTCTTCCCAACCAAACCCATCACTCTTTCGGGCAGTGGTAGCTCAGTGGTTAAGACACTTGACTTCTGATTGGTAGGTCGTGAGTTCAAATCCCAGCGCTGCCACTGCTGGGCTCTTGAGCAAAGTCCTTAACCCTCAACCACTTATTTATATAAAAATGAGATAAATGTAAGTTGCTCTGATAAGGGTATCTGCCAAATGCCACAAATGCATGAATTTTCCGACTTCTTATTCTATTTATCAATGTTTACCCCTAAAAACCTAAAAAAAAAGTATACAAACATATACTTATGTAGTGCTGAAATAGTACCGTAGCTATGTTATTTCTTTGCACTGTGTTTTTGTCTTATGCTCCTGTTCCATCAGTGTTGATTTGCTGCTGACTGCTCAGACTCAGTATTTAAGGGTCTACTGGTTTCATTTAAAATTAGTATATTGATATTCAATATACTATAAATAGTATATTGAAGTCAGGGGTATCAAACTCATTTTAGGTAATGGGCCACAGTACACTTCTAGTCCAGTGCCAAGTGGGACAGACCAAAAAACTAAGTTTAATAGACCAATTACACATCAACATCATTAATATGTTTATTTATCTGAAAAGTACATGCTGAATGAACAAATATCATCTACAACACACATGGTCCACTTTATTAGGAACCCATGTATGCCAATTCACCAACAGAGTGGCAGCTGCACAATGCAGATACAGGTTCAGTTCATGTTCACATCAAACATCAGAATGGGGGAAAAAATGTGATCTCAGTGACTTTGATAGTGGCATGGTTGTTGGTGCCAGATACTGCTGATACTGCTGGGATTTTCACAGCAGTCTTTAGAGTTTACACAGGCTACAGTGGGAACAGGTTTACAGAAGCTGGTCAGTTGAAGATTGGAAAGACATCACCTGTACTGTTTTGGTGAGCCTATGCCCACTGTAGCCTCAGATTCCTTGTTCTTTTCTGACAGGAGTGGAACCCAATGTGGTCTTTTACTGTTTTATCTCATCTGCCTCAAGGTTTGACATGTTTGTTCTGAGATGCTTTTCTGCTCACAACGATTGTAAAGAGTGTTCATTTGAGTTACTGTAGCCTTCCTGTCAGCTCGAACCAGCCTGGCCTCTCTCATCAACAAGGCATTTGGACATTTTTTTGTTTTTCACACCAATCTGTTTAAACTCTAGGGACTGTTATGCAGGGGATTGCATAATATACTGTATATTCCATGCAAAATGCATACAAAAATGAGGGGGGAAAATCTATAAAATTTGCAAAATTATTTACAAATAAAAAAAATTGCTGTAAAACCCCTAAATTAGTTATTCTGGAAAGTGACTTTGGTAGCATCAAGTTTTTTTTTGTTTTTTTTTTAGCTTGCTACATCAATATCATTATATTATTGTGTGTATTGTGCTAGCAGAAGATTAATATTACAGCTTTGCAGTGAAATTTTGTATTGCTTGGATTGGTCCATGTTTCCACATACCTGTGTGTTACTGATTTAGAAAAGATTGTCTCTCACCGATAATCCACCTTGTAAAACCCTTTCTACCATTAGCCATATCGTGTCTCAGCCGGAGCATGTAGCGCAGCAGGCTTCAGGATTCAGAAAGAGTAGCTTGCTCTATATTTATGTAGCTAAATTTGTAGCTATAGTTTATACATGGCTACATACCAAATGAAACATTTTGCTTTGTGAAAGTAAATATGGAGTAGCAATTTTCTTTTTCTGGCTGTTGAACCTATTTGTCAGGCAACTCGGAATAAACAACTAATAGCCAGGATAACAAATTTGCTTGCCCTAGGCTCCTGGGCTAATGATTTGTCCATGCCTGTTCAGTAATTCTAATTATGAAATCTTAGTATCTTACTAATGTAACATGTTTTTGAGAATGTCAAAATGTCATCAGATTATCTGAGTATATCTGGAAGAGAGGTGTCTGTTATACCACAGATTATTGAAAATCTACAGATACAAAACAACAAGGGTTTTAGTGCTGAAAACATGCTTTATTGAATCAATTATAAGGCTCAAGGAGGTTGCATTCATTAGTAATACTACAATTCTACATAAAATCAAACCAAAATATAGGGCATATAGTTCCTGTTTTAAGATATTTATTTCCACAGAAGATGTTGTCCCTGTGGTACGCTTGTTTGCCCAGCAACTGTGAAGATGAGTTCTAAAACTAGTACACACACACAATGCAACAAAGCAATCCTCCAAGAGGAGGCTCTGCTTCTGCAAGGAAGTACAAGATAGACTTTTATTATTGGCCAGGAGATGTTCATTTTGAAAGTCCATTCAAGCAATCCCTTACCAGAAACAGAGCACATTAAACATTTTTGCTCATGAAGTGCAGGCCGCTCGCACTTTGAGCATGTCTTTAAAATGGTGGTATGACATAATCAGTTTGAACACAAGACCTAGTCATGCTGCTTACATGAGGGTAAATGCACGCAGCATTCAAGGTCTTATGGTCAAGTTATAAAGTCATGTGATTATAGAAATATCACATGTACACATACAATGTATAGCTTTGTCTCGTAAATTTAGTAAAACTTCAACAGGGAGCCTCTCTACCTGTTGAGGCAATCTTAAGACTTCAACTTTTTGTTGAGGCACTAAGTTTAGTTCCAGGTTTAACAGGGTATTCGTTCCATGAGAAACTTTCTCCTGATAAACAATTAGTTCCATTTGTTTTAGTTAATATCGTCTTAAATAACAATTCATACATTTCCCATAACCGGTAAATTCGGCTATATACATTATGTACATGTCACAAAAAATTGACCAAAAATCCTAGTCATAATTATCCAAAATGGCACATTTTATAACAACTTTAGACTTTAGTCTAGTTCGGCATAAGTTAATGTCAAGTTTGATATAAAAATATTTCATATTTACAGGAACAGATATCCAGGTATTTATCAAGTAAATATCTTTTTTTTCTCATTCAATAAATAAAAAGGCAGATAATGCGAGAAGGGGGAAGAAAGTATCATTATTAGATTTATAGTGAACGAATGCTAATGGTGACAGTTGCCATATCAGACCCATGCTCATTGGAAAGTTTGAGGGTATACACCCCAGCGTCACTAGATTTTACACTAGTGATTATGAGTGTCGTCAGGTCCTCCGTTGTCTCAATGTGGAATCTTCCACTCTCTTCTGCAGTTGAAATAGTTTTTCCACCACGAGACCACTCAATGTGTGGAGAAGGCTCTCCAGAGAATGCACATGCTATGGTCAAAACCTTCCCAGGTTCAATGCTGATGTCTTCAGGTAGGGCTTCAATTTTTGGTGCTGAACCTTTGAAGTAAACATTAATTGAAGAGGTTTGTCAGTTGAAAGAAATATGAGTCAGTAGGCTGTATATATATTTTACAAATGCTTGTGACCACTGATTAAAGTGGCTCTTATTAGCTCACCTTGACCACTGAGCAGAGTGGCTCTTATTGAGGATCCCTCAGCATGTGAGTGACTTGACATCATACTGCTTGAGCTCATAGCATACACTGATTCAGAAGTCATGGAGGACATGCTGGACATTGACATTGTTTCAAATTTCATTTCAGCCATGGTGGAACTGCTGAACGATGTTTCTTGCATTGTGCTCTCCCTGTGGACGGATTTTGAAGAGAAACTCTCATGCATTCTGCTGAGAGTGGCACTCTCTTTCTTAAGCATTTCAACCCCCTCATGGGCCTTTGAGGACACTGATTCTGTAAGATAAGTTAGTTAAATTAGTGTGTGTGTTAGTGTTAAGCATGGGTCTCTAAAACGTGTTAAGAAAATACTGAATTATTACATGAAATTAAATTTACCTTTAACAGCCATGTGTGCAGACACAAATGTTGTTATTTTTGTGTAGATGGACTGGAACACTTGACCAAAGAAGGAGAATGATGTTTTTGAGACTGCTCCACTCTCTGCGATTATTTCACAGGAATATTCACCCTGATCCCTCTCAGACACATCCGATATATAGAGACAGCAAGTGCCATCAGCGGAAGTATGGATCTGATAATGGCTACTGTGACTAAGTCTCCTGCCATCTTTGTACCACACAACGTCCCTTACAGAGCATTCAGCAACACAGGTCATCTTCACCTTGTCTTCAGAGGCCTCAGCTTTAAGTTGCTGGAGGATCTTTGGGGGTGCTTCCTTTGAAGGAGTTGGTGATTTCACAGTGAGTGGAGATTTAACCCTTTTTGGTGAAATGATCGGCTCAGGAGACTTGGCTGCTGGTGGGGATTTTACTCTTTGAGGAGAGGTGATTGGCTCTGGTGACTTCATGCCTGTGGGAGATTTAACTCTCTGCGGTGAGGTTCTTAGCTCTGGAGACTTAACTAGAGGTGGTGATTTTACTCTTGGAGGAGATGCTACTGGTTCAGGAGACTTCAGGGCTGTGGGAGATTTAATCCTAAGAGGGGACGTAATTGCTTCTGAGGGCTTTGCAGGGACAGGTGACTTAACTCTTGGAGCAGCAGTACTAGGCTCAGGAGACTTGACTCGTAGTGGCGATTTGACACCCTCGGGTGACTTAATTTGTGGTTCAGGAGACTTGACTCCGGTAGATTCTGGTGATTTCACCAAAGGCTCTGGAGACTTAACTGATGGCTCTGGAGATGTCACAGGTGGTGTAGGAAATTTCACTGAAGGTCCTGGTGATTCTACAGAAGTTGTTGGTGATTTCACTGAAAGCTCAGGTGACTTCACTGCTGGCTCAAGAGATTTAACTGGAGGGGATGGTGCAACAGCCTCCTCTTTTGTTGGTGGCTTGGAGATGTTTAAGGTAAACTTTGCCTCTTGCCTTCCCTCTGAATTTTCTACCACTACTGTGTAGCTGCCTTCATCAGAGTACTCTACAGAAGATATTTCAAATGTAGACTTGTATTGTGTTGTTGTCACATGTACACGATGAGAAGTGACAATAGTGTGTTGCCCATGCATCCATGTGACACTTGGTGCTGGCTCGCCATCAATATCACAGGTAAATCTTGCAGACTCACCCAATGATACTGTTAGAGAGTGTGGTTTGGTGAGTATTTTTGCTGACAGGGTGGCTTTGACTTTCTTAGCAGTAATGCTTGCTGTA